GAGAGAACCCACACATGCACGGAGAGAACATGCAAACTCTACCCAGAAAGGTCCCCGGACCGGGATTTGAACCGGTGACCTTCTTGCTGAGAGGCATCAGCGCTACCAACTGAGCCACCGTGCCACCCATATTCTATTATATAAATTATAAATCAATATTTAAAGAACAATATTTCAACTAAGTATGATCCAAAACTAAAACTAGCAAAACAGTGAAAGTTGATTTGAAAAAATACTGATAAATCTTTATGAAAATAAATACATAAACAAACATGGGCAAAAAAAAAAAAACAAACAAACCTGTTGCCTTTGCAGTTTGGTGCTGGGAATTAATAAGTGAACAAGTAGATGTTCTTAGAGTTAAAATAAAACTCTGGAGTTATTTCTGTTACCATGGCGATCTAACTGGGCTCAAAGAAATCCTCTTTTGTGACCCAGAAAGGTTAGACTTTCAGCCATTATAATGACCGTAACACAGCCATCTGGTGAGGCCCAAGTGATTTTATAATGATGATGATGATGATGATGACGAAGGTGAAAGGATGCGAAACTCTGTCTCAGCAGATTGTCGTTTACTTTAATCAGAAGGCAGAGAGACACCCTCAATGTGTCTCTGCTGAAAAAACACATGAAACATTCCGATGCAGGATTCAGTGATCACACTGAGTGTGTGTGTGTGTGTATACTTGTTTTTATGACAGAGTGAGGACCATTTGTGCCATAGTTACTATGAAAGTGAGGTCTTCAATTCAATTAAATTCAAAAATACTTTATTGATCCCAGAAGGAAATTAGATGTTGTTGTAACTCATTTATCTAAAGAATTATTGTAGATGCTGATGGCTGTGGGCAGGAAAGATCTTCTGTAGCGTCTGTATTACAGCGAAATTTATGTAAAGTGTCCTTGATGTAAAGTGAGGACCTCTTCAATGTCCTCACTTTGTTTGCAGCTCTGCTGGTCTTTACTAGTTAGCTTTAGAGGTATGGAGTGAATTAAGTCTTGGTGCAGGTTAGTGTTAACGATAGACCAGTAATGGTTAGTTTTAAGGAAAATATCTGGGTTAGGCATAAATACAGTTACAAAAATTAATGGAAGTCAATGCAAAGTCCTCAGTTTGATGCAAGTACAAGGATGTGTGTGTGTGTGTGCTTGTTTTGGCTACAGAGTGAGGACCATGTATGGTTTTTAATCAATAAAGTGAGGACATTTTCCCAGTCCTCACTTTGTTTGCAGCTCTGCTGTGCTTTACTAGTCAGGTTTAGAGGTATGGTGTGAATTAAGTTTTGGTTCAGGTTAGTGTTAACTACAGACCAGTAATGGTTAATTTTATGGAAAATGTATGGATTAGGCATAAACACGATTACAAAAATGAATGGAAGTCAATACAAAGTCCTCCAGTTTGATGCAAGGACAAGGATG